TGCAAAAACGATCAGCAACACCAAGAGTAACTATTATAGTTGGATACAAAAGTCCTATTAGCAAACTAGCTTATCATTCGATAAATTGATATTTATAGTTAACTGTTGTGTCAGTGTATGGATACAAAATGCATGCCAACTTACCTTTGCACTGGAACCTTGCCACTAAAAAAAACTGATAAAATAACGACTTGTTAAAACCTGTAGTAGACGCTATGCAATATACCAGAAGCTCAAAGGCAATTGGTGAAAAATCCTGTATTTGTAATTTCCAAACAAAAAATGACATGACTAGTATTTAATGGTTTTATCTAATTGGGTTGTTAATTATCTACTGAGGTTTGCATAACACAAAGTTTCTTCTAGCATTGCTAACAACAGTATAGTATGCCCATGCACTGCTATTGGTAACAAATTATCAGGATTATGTTTTCCGTGGACAAATTCGTCTTTCTTCTGTAATCCAAAGTAACTATACAACTACTGAATTTGTATGAATGTGGCCACTCACTGTTTACACAATGCCATCTGACAGATGTGACAGATAATATTTGAACTCATATTGGGACATTCTATTTTTTAAATATATCTCATTTCAAACTTCAATTTCAAAAGTTGACGTTACCAGAGACACATAATACATGTATTATATGTCTCTGACGTTACTAAGTTCCAAGTTGACATTTCCTAATTCCAATTCGATTTTTTTTCAGTTTCAGTGGTCACCTCCAAGTTGACATCTCTTTCTTCAAACTTGAAACTTCTTGTGAGATTTTCAACGGTTGTATTAGGTTATATATATATTATATTATTTTGGCCAGGATCATACAGAGACATAATTTGTAGTAATTAGCATGTGGTGCAGGGTGCCGTTTCTGTTATTACTACCACTGGGTCGATACCTCTGTCATGGTCAGAAATCGGAAATCATTTAAATTTAGGAATATATCTACTAGAGAAAACTCTTGATTCATTGTCCGGATTTGGATATACTTTCGGTTCTTTTGAATTTATGAGCCTTTCAACGTTTATTAGGTTTTAGATTTGCAAATTGTTAACCTTGAGCATCACTGTAGAGGCATTAATTGTCGAAATGTGCATCTGGTGCAGTAAAATTGGTACCATTTATGTTATTACTACCACTGGGTATATATCTCTGCGATGGACAGTAATTCCCCAAGGGTATACCCAGCCCAGTAGCCAGTACTTCGGTAATTGTATTAGAATTCGGAAATTGTTGGATAGTAATTTACTGTTATCAAAAAGCAGAAATCATTTTAAATTAAGGAATATATCTCTCTTGTCAGGATTTCGCTATACTTTCGGTCCTATTTGGTTTTATGAGGTACTCAACGTTTACTAATATTATGTTTTGATTTTCAAAATGTTGGCCTTGAGGATCACTGAAGAGGCATAAATTGTCGAAATACGTATCTGGTGCAGTAAACTTGGTGCCGCTTATGTTATTACTACCACGAGGTCGATATCTCTGCTGGTAGACTCACTGTTTGTCCTCGAGAGTATCACCAGCCCGGTAGCTCAAATTTCGGTACTGACATGACAATACGGATATTATTGGATTGCAATTTGCTGTTATCAAAATTTGGAAATCATTTTAAATTAAGGAACATACCTCCCTCATGCAGCTCGGGATTCCTTGTCTAGGTATGCCTATACTTTTTTCGGATTTTATGTTTGGTTTAAAGAGGGCTTTAACGTTTTCATTTTAAAATTTTGGGTATTCAAATATTTTGGCTTCTTTCATAACTGAAAAGAAATTAATCGTCAAAATGCGTATCTGGTGCAGTAATATTAATACCGTTTATGTTGTTAGAACTGAGAATTCGAAATGTCAAATTGAAATGGAAGTGAGAAATAAAAAAAATTAAATGTCACTACCACTCTTTCGTAAAATTACCAACCCTTAAAAAAATATACATTGTTTTTTCTTGTTTGCCATGACGAGACCATTTGATGCATTATAGGTTTTTTTTTTCATATGGATCTAAGAATTCTAGATAAGATTGCCCTGCTTTACGTTTTTCCAGTTTCCGAAGAAAGCTAGCTGTAAAATCTGATGCTTATAATATAATTATACCCTTCATCGGTATATTATGAAGATCAGAGTATATAGACAGCAGTTCTTTATGACCACAACATAGTGTGCAGTAGTATTATTTTCGAGGAGCTGTCACCGTTGCTGTTGGCCGACTTTCATTTAAAACTCTGTATATTCGAAACATGTTAGAAAAATTACCTTATGCTTTAGTGTTGACCGATTTTTCTAGCTCCTACCATTTTTGCAGACGATACGCGCATCTGGCGTACAAAAGTTTATCCTGGTATCTATGTTGACATTATTTTAAACATAAAATGTGGTTTATTTTTGGGGATATTACCAATAGGTCTAATACATGCAAGAATTTTATATCATCTTTGTGAACTGGTGTTTTTTCAATTAGGCAAAATTTGCAAATGATGATCCGTGAATTGGTGAAGCCAAACAAACCCTAAATTGATTATAAATATGTTGTGTTTTCCAAAAGCAGAAATGAATCTGAATGACATTTCTCCATGTGATAAAGCATTTCAAATGAAATTAAAATAACGCTTTGAAATTCCCTTACAATGCACCATAACATCTTGTTTGGTGATATAGGGCATATTCATAGGGATTCTATATGTATACTGCAGCCATTTAAAGTAGGTTCAAAGCCTTCAAATATATGAACTTATCACTTTGCAATCAATTTACAAACGCCTATCTTGTTGGGCCGATTTAGTTATAATCGTTCATCAAAACATAAGTTATTGTTAACATTCATTCTGAATCTCGTTTTAATTTCTTTCGTCGTGTTTTTAGAAAAATTAAGGATACAAATGGGGAAAATTGAGTCATTTTAAAATTCGTTTTGTAACTTGATGATATCGATTACTGTTTATTAAATCAAAATGCTAACAACAATAAAGAGAGGATTGGTGTTGCCATATTTGAACCTAGGTAGACCTTATTCATTTTCAGATGTTGACCGGGTTTTACAGTCCACGTTCAATAAAAGGTGTTATTCCACCAGCCGGTCACAGCGCAAATCTAAGTATACTATTTCCAGGGTGTATGGTATTGTTACAGTCTAGTTGTCAATGTATAAAATATTTGCTGAAGTTATCGTGGAAACAAGAATGCGTGGCGATGAAAGTGATTGTGAATGTAACTATGTTTGATAAAGTTACCGTGGCAACAAGTATGTGTGGCGATTATAGAGATACGGAAACCTTGAAATGCAAAGAAACCAAGAACTAAATCTTCCAGATAGTCTACGCTTTGTCTCGATCGTAATCAATGTTGTGTCAAAAAAACATCGGTATCATAAATGTTTGTCATAATCCCTATAGGACGATACAGCTGCTGGTTTACTATCAGTTCATGACGGTACCATCCGTCTGGTGAACAGCGCTTTGGTAATGGGATGATTTATATAATACATTTTGTGTGTAAAATTTTATGTTTGTAAATATAGTTATTGTGACATAATTCAAATGATACAGTTTGTCTTTAAACCATTTAAAAATATATGCTATTGTACTAAGCCTCAAGTGGTAAAACCCTCCGATTATAATGGGTAGGCCCTTTTAATTTTTTTTGTTCGAAAAAAGTTTGAAAATTTTGACTTTCCAAACCGTTGTCCTCGAGCGACCTTGACAAAAATATGTGTTGTGCACTGAAACTTATATCGTTATAAAAATAAGGAGATATATGATATGACTGCTAATGAGACATCTATCCACAAGAGTTCAAAAGATGTGGATGTAAGCAACTTAACTGTCATACGTTGCTTGGGATGGACTATCAGGGCCCGAGAGGACTATTGGCAAAATAGCCCGTGCTTCGTAACTAGCATGATTAAACGATTTACTAGTATTTCATCTGTACATTTGCATTTCATGAAAATAAAAAATCTCCTCAATTAAAGGCAACAGTAGTTTACCGATGTTCAAATCTGTAAACCCGTAAAGAACCCTCAAAAATTTAAAACAAATAAAACATGAGGGAATCGCATGAACTCCAAACGGAGCAAGATGGGGTGCGTGTAGCAGCTGGCAAAAGGTAAAATAACAAAAATACCGAACTCCAAGGAAAATTCAAATCGGAAAGTCCCTTATCAAATGGCAAAATCAAAAGCTCAAACACATCAAACGAACGGAAAATAACTGTCATATTCCTGACTAGGTACGGGCATTTCCTTATGTAGAAAATGGTGGATTAAACCTGGTTTTATAGCTAGCTAAACCTCTCACTTGTATGACAGTCGCATAAAATTTCATTACATTGACAACAATGTGTTACAAAACAAACAGACATAATAGGAAAACATGTCAACAATAGGGGTACAACTTAAACAAAAACCAAATTCCTTCAGTCAATATTGGCTTTAGTTTTTGGCTGTTCTTTGATGCTCCTTTTGTTTTTATGATACACAACAGTTTATTATTTGACATTTAAATCTTGTCCTCGTTTGAAACTGATGTAACATATTATTTCATAATCATGTGGTGTGAGCACAGAAATGAACATTATACTTATTTTACTACCACTTGGTTGCTACTGCTAAAGGATTGTCAGTACCAAATGTACCATGCTTTCTGTACTAGCAATTGCATTTTGCTTGACATGTTCAGCTCTTCGTCAACAACGATTGCCACGTAGACGGCTTAAGGCTGTTTTGTTTAGCTCCCTTGATTTTATTGTCTCTAACGTATGATTTGTGGCTTCCAAACTTCTAGTCTCGGTCGTACCAGTGATAAAGTTTCTTCAATTAACATGTGTCGTGTGTCTGACATCAGTTTCTTGCATCACATCGAATGGATGATTCAGTGATAACTCATAAGAAAACGAGATGGGATTGGTCTGTTTTTTTCTCTTTATTTTGGCTTTGCATCATTGGAAGTGCGTTTAATCAATCTTTTGTTTTTGCATATATAAAACCAACTTTTTCAAGTCATTTATTGCTACAACATATAAATATTGATACAAAAGCATAAAGATAAAAATACAGGATTGAAAAATAGGAATACCGAAAAAGGCATGAGACACAAAAGATAATGTATATAAAACATAATTAATTGATGAAAAAGTACAATACTGTATAGCATTTATAAAATGCAAACGTAACATTGTTCTTCATATTTAATCAAACTATTTCGAAAAGAAACAGATTATCGCCAAATGTAGAAATTTACAAACGTGCAATTCAACTGAAATATTAATAGATAAATGAAAACAAGCTTCAATTCTTGGTTAATTTAGAAATTATATTTGTTTTTGTTTCAAAAATCAAAATGAAAAAACTTTTATTTGAAGACAAATATGAAATACAATTTGGTAAGAATTATTACAGAAAGGATTGTTACAGAAATGCTATCGCAAGTGAAATTTTAAGATAAATATTAAATATAATATAGTAAAAATTATTACAGTAAGGATTATTATAGAAATGCTATCGCAAGTAAGTGGTCTACAGAGTTCATCTTTGAGAAAGCATTCATGCTACATAAGGATTCGTATGTCCGTGTGTTGTCCTGTATAAAATTCTGAAAAAGTAAAACAAAATGACATCTGAATATTGTGTTGAGACAGACTGATGATTCCTAGCTGAGCAGACATTTATGTAGCCAGATTTTTTCCTGTTATTTTGCAACAATAAAATTGATCGAAGTTTAAATTTGTGCATCTTTTATTTTGGCGTTTCAACTGCAGAAGAATATACATAATTGAAAATTTTATTTCGACCTTTAGGTGTCTTTATTTATCTGTGTCGTTTGGTTGCTGCTTCAATACCTTTATCTCATATCTTCATATTATCAATGGAGGATGACACCAATTTTACAATAATCAAGCGTGTTATCCCCAGCTGTTTCTATACGATATCTTAGGAACCGGTACCGCTTATCAGATGCTTTTCAAATTTTGAAATGTTGTTACTGATGACATAATGGAAGTCAAGTTCGATGTTTACGATTTTCACTTTTGCCGTTCTGGAGATATTCTATATAATAAGAAATGAGAATCTACATCGCCTCCGTGCAATAACCTACAAATCGTTCAACCAATACTTTTTTTCAAATTTTAGTATGCTTCTACTGATGACAAAATGGAGATAAAATTTGAAAATGGAGATAGAGTTTGATATCGACGATTTTCATTTTTGCCGTTAGGAGTCATAGTCCTTGATTGATTGGAAAATAGCACTCAATGTCGATTGTGTGCGATAAGTTTAGAACTCTTTTCAAATATGTTTTTATGATACAATGGAGGTGAAGATTTTGATAACGTTAACATTAGCCGTTCAGGAGTTATGGCCGTTGATTGTCTTAACAATGACATTTGTAAATGAAAGAAAAATGATTTTTTCAGTTATTTTGACAGCATCTTGCTGTTACTTTAATTTGAGCCGTAACCAAGTAACAACATTACAAAATTATCAAACCTTATAAATGAAATGTTAATGGAAAAAAGTAAAATAGCAAAAATACCGAATTCCAAGGAAAAATTCCAAACGTAAAGTCCTTCATCAAATGGCAAAATCAAATTCTCAAACACATCAAATGAATGGAAAACAACTGACATATTCCTGACTTGGTACAAGCATTTTCTTTTATGTAGAAAATGGTGGATTGAACCTGGTTTTATAGCTAGCTAAACCTATCATTTGTATGGCAGTCGCGTAGAATTCCATTATTTTGACAATAATGTGTTAGCAAAACAAACAGACATAATAAGGTAAAATTGTAAAAAATTGGGGTACATATTACATATGTCTTAATTACTATTCTATATCATTATTAAGAAACATCCCATATCTATAATCTTAATCTAAAATGGGCGAACGTCTAATTTCCTTAAATAGGGCTCGATATGATTAATATAAATTAAAAACTATTGCATTATGAGAATGTTATGAAAATAATATATACATTTCGTGCGTCAAAAGCGCCTTTCTGGCTTTACCTTCAACCTAAACATTTGTAAATAAAATGTTCTTAATTAGATAATACTTAATTTGTGTTTCCTTTTACAAGTTCTGTGGTCATTGATCTTTTTAGAAATAATGTCCAATCAGAAAATTTATAATAATACTAACGATACCAATTTAACTGCACCAGATGCCTATTTCGACAATAAATGTCTCTTCGGTACGATGTTCGAGGCCAAAATATTTGAGAATCGAAAACTTATTAAAAAAATTGAAATTCCCATAAAACCAAAAAGGACAAAAAGTACAGCCAAAGCCGGACAAGAAATCAAAGTTTTGCATGCAGGAGATATATTCCTTAAATTGAAATAATTTCCAATTTTTTTATAGCAAAATTTTAATAACACAATATCCGTGTTTGCAGGTCAGTACCGAAGTACTTGGTACTGGCCTGGTGATACCCCCGGTGACTAACAGCCCACCAACAGAGGTAAAATAGCATTAACGGTACCAATTTTACTGCACCAGATAAGCATAAAAATAATTAAAAAATAGTAACGTTAATGTTATTGTTCAAACGACCAAAAAGTTGCTAATTAAAGGTAGAAAAGAAGACAGACACCTTTGGAGTTAAAATGAGCAGGTTTTAATATTGAAATTAAAGCACTATCTTTAAAACCAATTGAAGATCCCCTAATGTATGCGTAAGCCATACATGCGTTAGTAAGCACATGATGACCTTTTTGAGTTTCAAAATAAGCAAACTGCACATACAAATAATATGTATTAGAAGACCATGATAAATAGACTAGAAGGAGGAAACGGAGCAGTTGACCATTGTATAATGTGTCTGTATAACAATACCTTATCCTTCCCATGCCCTAAAGTCCATCTGTTTGATATTTCTCTCATTTGAACACGGTTTTCTGGAAATAAATAATGTTTTTAAATAACAATGTATCACTTATATTAGATACATAAATTACAGCGATTTAAACATAAATAAACGGAAATGAAATGAAATTACATTTTGTCTTTATCATATAGTATAATTAATCTCACTAACATAATTTTGATGGAAGAAATTCACAAGCATCCATTATTTGTTTTATGTTCAGATCCTGGACCGGTAACTGACAATTCATATCACAGGATTGCCATTCAGCAGTGCACTATGGATGCAGCAACATTCTCATTTGTGAAGTATGCTTTCAAATCACTTCAATGTTAAAACAGTTCCATCAGGATGATTTTATATAGTATTTTTTATGTGCATAAACAATAGCAATCGCGCACTTTGATTGATGGATATGACCGCTTACTTCAATATATCAGAAGTAGAAAACAGTGCAAACATGTGCATTATCAACATTTACTTCATTTTCAAACCGAAACAACCGAACTACGGGCCTCATTTGAATGTGGAAATTCTTGCGTTTGGTCCGACTTCCAACGTTGATCATCAAAATACTAACAAACCTTCTCCGCAAAATGAGGCATAAAAGGTAAAAACAATGGCTTAAAAGTCAAAATTGCATGTTGTTACGTTTTGTTTGTAAATCAGTTTAGGGTTGACTAATCGGATCCCTAATAGAACTACTAATATTTTTGACGATATGAATACGTTTTCCTGACCTATTATTTAATGAATGAAGCGGATTATGTAAAAGGTTAAGAGTCAAAAATTAATTTTATGGTTCAATAAATTCAAAATAAATAATAGCCATTCATTATAAATAAATTTCTATCAAAAATAAGGCTCAAAGAGCTTTTTATATTATTTATATTAACAATAACAACGTACACACATGTTGGCGTATGAATACACAACGTCAGAGTGCATGGGCGTGTCGCCATAAGAATTGACAACATTGAAAATAAAGGTAATACTTTTAACCAATCAGAAGACATGTACAGTAAATCCACCAAATTTATTTATTATGGAATTGAAATAAAATGTATTGCAAACATACCTTCCACCGTTGACATTTGCTGGATTAATAAGTGCTCTCTTATGTATTTCTGACAAACCTTGTACATTTTTACAAAGAATTCCAGCCAGTGTCACTTTTCTTATTTCCGTAAGCTTGCCTATAACACAGATTGATAGATATTGTGAGATAATGAGATAAATAATGACAAGATACAAAAAAACGATTTCATGCATCAGATGCGGATTTCGCTATCGATGATTTATTTTTTCCTCGGTAGTGCTAAATACGTAGCATAAGGAGTTTTTAAAAAATACAAAAAAGATGGCCATAAAACTGAAACACAATTAGAGATTAAAATATTTACGTTCTGAAATTCGTAATTTGATATGATATTTACACTAGGCAAACTATAAAAACAAAACAAAACCGGTTTTACTTTCAGCATCAGATCTGATGTCACCTTAACGTTTTCAGGACCGAATGGGTCCGTGTATATTTGCGTCGAATGTTGTCTAGTTAATAATAAAATTTTAATTTAGCAGTGTTGTGTTTTATAAACTATTGTTTTTATGTTTTTTTTTTTGCCTTGGCGTTCCAAATTTGTCTTCGACTTCAGTTTAAAATGCCCTTTTGTATCTTCCGCCTCTGGTTTTTTTATAGCATTTATTTCGTATACCACTGTTCATAAGTACTTACTTTCACTAAAACCCTCAGGTTCTGCTCTTTCATACCAAAATCTGTCGCCATTTTTTAAGTTTTTAAATTGTTCTCCAAGGATACAGGCAAATGTCTCTCCTACGTAGGTAAAATCCCCACCGCCGTTTAATGCTGTACTACGTAGTTCTAACATGCCACCAACGTATAAATCAATATCATGTACACTCCTACAAAAATTGTTTATATGTATATGTATATATATATATATATATATATACAAGTCTAAATTGAAAACAACGTTCAAACCTATGATTGCGTTGGATAAAAACCGCAATTTTTATACGTGTGCATGCAAAACAAATTTCTTGGTAGAGGGGTCTAAATACAGCACAAACAACATTTTCCAAAAGACCTAAAAAGTGAAAAAGTATATTTAAATAAAACGCATTTGACTATATATATATATATTTATATGTGTTTCAAAAATGATATTGATTATCAAACAGCAATTTTAACATTATCAAAGATTATTTCAGCATGATCATGATTTAAAAATATGGAAAGCCTCAGCTGTCATATATTAGAGATTTACAAAACGTTATGCTGAAGCTTAAAATGTAAAGTTAAGACAGCGTGATGTTGAATTGAGTCATCAAAATGCTAACTCTAAATTACAATATGCTAAGTTGAATCTGCGCAATGTTGACTTGCAATGACAAGTGCTTTAGTCGTGATAGTATAATATTAAGTCACGATGTTGTGATGATATGCCAAACACACGTAACGTTGGGTTTAAAGTACTTGATGTGAAGTTGACGTTGCATGATGTTAGCTTGCAGATGGATACTGCTCAGTCATCCACATCGACAGCTATGATAACAAATAAAATGAATAGCTAAAATGTATGGTGCTGACTTGATATTAATTAATGTTGAGCTGAGATAGTACGATGTTATATCATTGTGATATTACGATTGGTCTATCATGCAATCTGTTGATTTAAAACACCATGATGCACAGTTGAAAGTACATGATGTTAAGTTAAGATAACACGATGCTACACCACTATATTGAAACGAAAGGCTTACCATACAATTTGTTGACTTAAACCAACACGATGCAACGTGTTAAGCTAAGATGCTCACTTGAAACTACAGGACGTACAGTTGAAATTTTGTAATGTTAAGCTACGATAGCACGATGTTATATCATTATAATGTCACAGTAGGCTTATTATACAATTTGCTCATTTAAAACTACACAACGTACAGTTGAAAGTACGTGATGTTAAGTTAAGATGGCACGTTGTTATATCATTAGAATGTCACGATAGGCTTACCAAACGATATGCTCGTTTAAAACTACACGACGTACAGTTGAAAGTATGTGATGTTGAGCTATGATAGTAATATCTTATATCATAATGATATCACGATAGGCTTGCCATACAATATGATCATTTAAAACTACACGACGTACAGTTGAAAGTACGTGTTGTTCAGCTAAGACAGCACGATGTTATATCATTATAATGTCACGATAGGCTTATTACACAATTTTCTCATTTAAAATTACACCACGTATAGCTGAAAGTACGTGATGTTAAGCTAAGATAGCGCGTTGTTATATCATTAGAATGTCACGATAGGCTTGCCATACAATATGCTCAGTCAAAACTACACGGCGTACAGTTGAAAGTACGTGTTGTTGAGCTAAGATAGCACGATGTTATATCATTATGACGTCACGAGAGGCTTATCATACAATGTGTTGACTTGAAACTACACGATGTAAATTTGAAGAAGTTTGGTCTTGACTTGAAACAGTAAAATGTTAAGTTAAAAAAACAGAACGTAAAGTCAAAATAAAACAATGATAGGATGACGTGTACTTGTGCAGAATTGAAGATTTTTGGTGTTGACTTCGAATATAGTACAAATATTAAATCGTTTTATGTTAAATTGAAAGACAATAACGATGCGTAGAAGTACTGCAATTCTATGGAAAAGAATGAGGGACAAATCCCCAGGATTTTTTCCTCTTTATTTGCAAGTTGATGAATATTAATGAAATTTAACTCCGGAGTCAAAATGATATAAAAAGAAAGTTTTCCATAAATTCATAAAGCAAAACAATTACCCTTCGCTATATATTACACTTGAATACAGTTTTGCCTATATTTTACATGCTTTGTTTGGGGTTTTTTTTATGATTAAAACCCAACTTTTTTTTATGAACAATATTTAAGAAAATATTTATCTATGTGGTGTTTTAATATATACAACATAATATTGCGCTTATAAGACTTCGGTTATGACTGTGAGGGTCAAATTTACTCATATAAAATCACATCTATGTAAGAGTTAGCGGAGAATTTGTATTTACCACTCCCGTTTTCCACGAAATAAAACATAAGAATCTGGAGTCTTAATCTTAAAAAACAAAGATCAACTGATATGAAAAATAATACCATTAGCGTTGGACTGAGATGGTGAGAGATATATCAGAATGTGACCCCCTCCCCCCGGTTTTGTTAGAGGTATCTGAAATTTTGTATTTTCTTTTCCACGAAATAAAACAAAAGAATCTGGACTCAATCAAAAGCGATGCGATTACGATTTCCATAGAATGTCAGAGACAGTTTGTCGACTAGTTCGTTGATAATTCGGCTAGGCAAGTAAAGTATGTCTTGTAACAAAGCAGGGTTTATTCATATTCATATCACACTTACTTGTTCTCGTCCTGATATGCATGTAATATTTGCCACTGTACGTAAAACGCACCCCTTTTCCCCGAAATAAAACCAATAAATCTGGACTTAATCAAAACCGATGCTATTTGGATTTCCATAGATTGTCAGAGACGGTTTGTCAACTAGTTTGTTAGAAATTCGGCTAAGCAAGCAAAATATGTCTTGTACAGAGCAAAGATTTATTCATATTCATATCACACTTACATATTCTCGTCCTTATATGCATGTAATATTTGCCACTGTACACTAAATACAAATACATTTTCATCAATTCTTTTTTATGAAAGGAGCCTATTTTAAGCATGTTCATCGATTTGACACCCTGTAGTTCATGTTTTTTTTTGGGGGGGGAGTTCCTCGAAAATTATAACACATTCCTTCTTTATTTGCAAAATCGCCAAGTGACGGGTGCCACATATGAAACAGGATCTGCTTACCCTTCTGGAGCACCTGAGATCACCCCTTTTTTGAGAGTTTCGTGCTGCTCAGTTTTGTTTGGCTTTTGATCTTTTTTCTCTCGTTTATTTCGGCTGATGAGTTTTCGTCATGCCATTGTCAGTTTGGTTAAGATTTTTACTATCCCTTTTGTATCTTTCGCCTCCTTTTATCCATTTTTGTGTATTGTTTTTTTCGATTCTCCCCTCCCCCTGAACAGTATAATAGATAGATAAATGACCCTTTTCAACAAAAGGAGATCTACAAGTAACTCGACTTGACCGAAATTGTAATTTTCTTCCTCATTAGATATATTGTCCTTAGGGTAGATCGGGTGTCTTCCGCCATCTTAGGGAGCTACCATTTGATTTTTATTGGGGGGCTAGAATGAAATTTGAGAAAAAGGCAGGACAGGAGTTTTGAGTTAAAAAAAAGGCAGGATGAGCAACTTGGCAAAAAAAAAGGCAGGATGACAATTTGTGTAAAAAAAAGTCAGAATAAACTAATAAAAAAAAATGGAGGACCAATAGAGTGAAAAATAAAAAGGCAGGACAGAGATTACAACTAAAAAAAAGGCAGGACAAAATTTTTCGTCCTAGCCCAGTCTGTTTTCGACTTATGAGTTTGAAATCCTTTTGGCATATTTCGTCTCTAATGATGGAATGTGTAGGGACTTTATCTATTTCGTTTTGTAGACAGAAAACGAGTCTCGTGATCCCAATTTTTATTTTTATTTTCTAACATTGAGTTTTCCATGTATAGTTTATACAAAATCTGACAATACTGCATAACCTGTAGCTTGCAAAATGCTCTGTGGCCCAAACTTTTTATTATGTTTTTCAAAAAAGAATAAACTACATTTTTGCAAATAATTAAAAAAAAATCTATCGATTTTAATTTAGACCACACTCATGAAAACTATAAGAGAGAGAGAGAGAGAGAAAGAGAGAGAGAGAGCGAGAAAGAAAAACTGTTGACATAAAAAAAACATATCTACAAATTAATCAAAGCAATACCAAAATAATTCATGGACTTTAACAATTTTTACAGATTTCTGATTTTTTTCTTTTTCTTTGAAAACACATATAAATAGAGAGAAGCTGCAAAGAACCAAGAAAATCACTATGGACAAGAAAATAAGTGACGGAATTCATTAATTGGCTTCTTATTATAAGTTATAGGGGTCATTGTCCATCAATGACTTTACCAATTTAAAAAATAAAATATTCTCCGAGTGGATATATACATAAACCTGGGCACTATCTTACTTGGTGCTGGAAAAAATGGTTGGCACTGCTGTAAATGATGTATTTCTTTTTTTGAAATTTGACGATTTAGACTGGAGGCTCTAGGTCAAATTTCATTAGGTTTCATATAGACTTCATGTATAAGCGAAAAGTATACAACAGAATCTACCATACTTTATATTTGGGTTGGCCCCCCCTAGCAGTAGGATTCTTCCACCTATCAATTCTTTTTGTTTTATTTCGTGGAAAAGAAAATTCAAATTTTCAGATACCTCTAACAAGGCCGGGGGTGGGGGTCACATTCTCATATAGCTCTGACCCTCTCAGTCCAACGCTTTACCGTATTATTTGTCATATCAGTTGATCTTTGTTTTTTAAGATTAAAACTCCAGATGCTTATGTTTTATTTCGTGGAAAACGGGAGTGGTAAATACAAATTCTCCGCTAACTCTTACATAGATGTGATTTTATATGAGTAAAATTTGACCCTCACAGTCATAACCGAAGTCTTATAAGCGCAATATTATGTTGTATATATTAACACACAACATAGATAAATATTTTCTTAAATATTGTTCATAAAAAAAAAGTCTAGTTTTTAATCATAAAAAAAAATCCAAACAAAACATGTAAAATATAGGCAAATCTGTATTCAAGTACAAATATATAGCGAAGGGTAATTCTTTTTCTTTATGAATTTATGGAAAACTTTCTTTGTATATCATTTTGCCTCCGAACTTGCAAATGAAGAAAAAAAAATCCTGGGGATTTGTCCCTCATTCTTTTCCATAGAATTGCAGTTTCAATTCACATAATTCTGTAATGTTTTACGCATCGTTATTGTCTTTCAATTTAACATAAAACGATTTAATATTTGTACTATATTCGAAGTCAACACCAAAAATCTTCAATTTTGCACAAGTACACGTCATCCTATCATTGTTTTATTTTGACTTTACGTTCTGTTTTTTTAACTTAACATTTTACTGTTTCATGCAAGACCAAACTTCTTCAAATTTACATCGTGTAGTTTCAAGTCAACACATTGTATGATAAGCCTCTCGTGACGTCATAGTGATATAACATCGTGCTATCTGAGCTCAACAACACGTACTTTCAACTGTACGTTGTGTAGTTTTGACTGAGCATATTGTATGGCAAGCCTATCGTGATAATATTATGATATAACATCGTGCTATCATAGCTCAACATCACATACTTTCAACTGTACGTTGTGTAGTTTTAAATGAGCATATTGTATGGTAAGCCTATCGTGACATTCAATTGATATAACAACATGCTATCTTAACTTAACATCATCTAGTTTCAACTGAAAATTATGTAGTTTTAAATGAGCATATCGTGTGGTAAGCCTATCGTAACATTCTAATGATATAACAACGTGCTATCTTAGCTTAACATCACGTACTTTCAGCTGTACATGGTGTAATTTTAAATGAGAAAATTGTGTAATAAGCCTATTGTGACATTATAATGATATAACATCGTGCTGTCTGAGCTGAACAACACGTACTTTCAACTGTACGTCGTGTAGTTTTAAATGAGCATATTGTATGGCAAGCCTATCGTGATATTATTATGATATAAGATATTGCTATCATAGCTCAACATCACGTACTTTCAACTGTACGTCGTGTAGTTTTAAACGAGCATATCGTGTGGTAAGCCTATCGTGACATTCTAATGATATAACAACGTGCAATCTTAGCTTAAAATCACGTACTTTCAACCGTACGGTGTGTAGTTTTAAATGAGCAAATTGTATAATGAGCCTACTGTGACATTATAATGATATAACATCGTGCTATCGTAGCTTAACATTACAAAATTTCAACTGTACGTCCTGTAGTTTCAAGTGAGCATCTTAGCTTAACACGTTGCATCGTGTTGTTTTAAGTCAACAAATTGTATGGTAAGCCTTTCGTTTCAATATAGTGGTGTAGCATCGTGTTATCTTAACTCTACATCATGTACTTTCAACTGTGCATCATGGTGTTTTAAATCAACAGATTGCATGATAGACCAATCGTAATATCACAATGATATAACATCGTACTATCTCAGCTCAACATTAATTAATAACAAGTCAGCACCATACATTTTAGCTATTCATTTTATTTGTTATCATAGCTGTCGATGTAGATGACTGAGCAGTATCCATCTGCAAGCTAACATCATGCAACGTCAACTTCACATCATGTACTTTAAACCCAACGTTACGTGTGTTTGACATATCATCACAACATCGTGACTTATCATTATACTATCACGACTAAAGCACTTGTCATTGCAAGTCAACATTGCACAGATTCAACTTAGCATATTGTAATTTAGAGTTAGCATTTTGATGACTCGATTCAACATCACGCTGTCTTAACTTTACATTTTAAGCTTCAGCATAACGTTTTGTAAATCTCTAATATATGACAGCTGAGGCTTTCCATATAAAAATAAGGTGGAGTAGGAGTCATTTGATTACCACTACGTTGATGGTATAGGCCGTAGGTATTAACTTTTATCCTAAATGCATGCATAGGTAGTACAGGAACACAAGGAGGTATTCTATGTCCGAACAAATTCTGGTCTGTAAAAACAAGGTCACTTATTTGTCAGAAATTTGTAAAACCACGCATTTTGGCAGAACTGGCTTGCCATAATTCCCCAGCAAACCAATCAAATCTAATTTTCTTCCAGTCAATATTGATGAACTGATGTAACTACAAGGGTATAACTGAATGACAAAGAAACACAGTTTGGTCAATGTTCACATCTAAAGGTCATATCAAAATAGAAAAATAGACTGAAAATGACCATTTCTAGCTGGGATGTGTTCTGCAAACTTTAATTTAAACTATCAAATTAAAAAACATACCTACATGCAAATGCTGAATTAATGGTCTAAGATTTTTTTCAGACGTGTGCGCTTTTCTTGCAATCATGACATCTCAAAACAACTCACTATATACTAAGTCATAATGATTTGTAAAATTAATGGTTGAATACAAAAACAAAGCGGAAACTTACTTGTACATTTTCTGTAACAATCTCCTTGGTCTACCTTTTATATATTTCATGCTCGACCAATCGTCATTATCAACTGGAGCAGGAAGATTGCACCATTTTCGCCATTCTGTGTAAGATGGTAAACCATGGTCTCTTCCTCGTTGTATATTTAAACTTGTTAGATCTAACGCCGTGTCAAACAATTTGTTTCTAATAGCACCTGAAAATTGCCTGCAACAGAAAAGGCGTGCAAAATATGAGATTTAAGTAAATTTCAGAAACCATCACAGCTATATACGAGCATATAGCCCGAAATTAGACACCTGGTTTAGTTCATGTTTTTTTTATCGTATTTAATTTTTTTTGAACTCTACTGGAAAAAAATTGACATGACGATTACTAGATTGATCAGACTAAGTGCGATTATAATCAATAAACTGATTACACACGTGACGATCAGAGATGATCTATAGTGTTAAATTGCATATCGTTAGGAATTAACATCCGTGATTTGAAAAGCAACGAAAAAAAATGCCAAATGAATATTGTATTGTTAACTTAAGTTTGTAATTTAAAAGTGTCTAACATCTACTTATCATGTTTCATAACGTTTTAGGAATTTTGGATCCTCAATGCTCTTTAACTTCGTACTTTATTTATCCTTTTTAACTTTTTTGATTCGAGCGATACTGATGAGTTTTTTGAAGACAAAACTCGAGTATGGCGATCCTGGTATCTATGATGAGTTTATCGTGTACCGTAATGTTGTCATTTTATCGGTATTTTTAACATTGCCATATAAGCGGGAGGTTTGGCTAGCCATAAATCCAGGTTCAACCCACCAATTTTTCTTTAAATGTCCTGTACCAAGTCAGAAATATGGCAGTTGTTATCAATTAGTCCGTTTCCATGTATGTTAACGTTTGTTTTTGTTGCAGTTCAGTGTTTCTGTTCCGTTGTTTTCCTCTTATATTTCATGTGTTTCCATCGGTTTTGGTTTGTGACCCGGATTTGGTTTCACTTAATCGATTTATGACTATTGAACAGCGGTATACTATTGCTGCCTTTATTTATTGCTTAACGTCATATTTGGTTTTTTTAAAGGAAAGTAGTTCATCATCAGCAGTTGAATTGAGTTTATATGAATCAATAAAAGTTAGCTTTAGACTTACTCGTCAGCTTTAGCTCCTTGAACAGTTGTCATATATCGGACTAATTCCAATACCTTGGATCCAGCTTCATCAACCAACATGTGTGGATTTTTCAGAGTTATTTCCATGTTTGTTTCATCTGTGAGTGTACTGTAATCGGCTCCCATATGAGCTATCTGGCTTCGTATCTATTGATAAATTAACAATTTTGAATAATAATTATGAATATGTAGAAGGCGTCTTCCCTAATTGGGGATGGTTAGGAAATGTATAATTCAATAAGTTTTGGTTGAAAACGTTTCCAAAAAGTCTACACAGTTCTAATTCAAGTCAAGGTAGATTCAGGAAAGCCGCCGGAAGTTTATAATTATGAACGAATTCCAGTACCCATCATCAACTTCAAGCACAAAAATATTAACCTATAGATATAACGACGTGTGCTGTTTATTGAGAAGAATACTTAAAGGTTAAAGATATCTTATAACACTACCCATTCCTACTGGTCCATATACATATATGTCCTCATGTTTACTTTGATGTCTGAAATGTACTCCTATAATGGCAGATATGGTGTTACTTTATCCAGTTGCCCGCTCCTCCAACCCTTCCCTTTCCCGTTTATTCTCGAATTCATACTACTTTCCCGTCTTTTAACTTTTTTGAATGTTCTTCCTGTGTTCTTTTGATTTTCTTTAATATTGTTGCAGATATATACTTCTGATAAATAATGACTAGACAATGATCATAATATATATAGTTTGAGGTAAGAGATCATAAAGTATTAATTATATAAAACAAAAAAGGTGATATGGTATGAGACAACTATCCAAAGGACTTTAATGTAAGCAACTATAGATCACCGTTCTGCCTTAAACAGATACTGAGCAACACTCATACCGTATGGTGGGCTATAACAGACTCAGGCGTTAAAAAATGTGATAACCACGTTAAACGAGAAAACCTACTGCAGACTTGTTAGAGTGTTAGTTGACAAGTTTTGAATGTATGAAAACGAAATTTCTTAACGGACAAAACTTAAGAAAGGCATACAAATAATTGTCACATCGAAGACAAAATACTCAACAGTGCAAAAGCTACATAATCAGACAAAATCGGTCTGAAAAGCATTCGATATGGATACCAAAGACGATAAAAAAAACATTAAAATCTGAAGAATTATTCAAAAGTCTAGAATTTGAATTTATTTGCAGAAAAGTGAAAATGTCGTACACAATATCATACTTCGAAAGTTTGTAACAAACGGTATTGAACTGCTAAACAATTGCAGAGGTACATACAAAGAAGTTGGTTAAAGAAATTTGCGAAGGTACAAATATTAAACGTGTTCTAGCTCATACCTGACTATGTCCAAATCGCAAAGCAGCTGTAGCAAATCCAACTGTTATTCCGGGATCGACTGCATCGTTGTAACCATCGGAGAAGCCCGTAGACAACAGTCCTAGATCATATTTTGTTAGCACGTCATCAACAAACACATCTACGAAAAAGACCATAAATGTGATATGAGTATGCATTTATAAGTCATCCCTGCTGACCAAAAATCCTGGCAAAGCATATGACATTTAAGATTTTAACTAGATTGATCACCGGGTTTTGTACGGGTTTGACCAACACGACGGGTGACACATATGGAGTAGGATCTGCTTATCCTTATGGAGCACATGAGTTCACCCCCGGTTTAAAGTAGCGTTCGTGTTACTCAGTCTTTAATTTTTATGTTGTGTTTTGTGTACTGTTTTTTTACTTTTGATTTTTTTTCTTTTTTTGCCATGTCGCTGTCAGTTTATTTTCAACTTATGAGTTTGAATGTTCCTTTGATATCTTTCGCCTCTCATTTTTTCAACTGTCCTAGGTTTCTTTATTTACTAAAAAATGCAATAATATGTCTGACTTAATCATTCAGTATGCCAGACACGAGTTTCGTCTAATAATTTGAAAAGCGCACACTGCTCCAGCATGGTATATGAGTTACTCTCGTTTGATACAATGCGTTCGGTCCGAATGTTTTTTTTTGCATTTGCAACTTTGTGCTGGTTGTGTTCTTGTTAACTCAATTTGAACTTAATACTAGTACTTCATAATCGCCTTTATCAGAATATAATGGAATATGTGTTATACACCCAAAAAAAAAAATGTTACGCCACTGTTTTTATTAACACTATATAAAATCTACAAATACAATGAACAAAGGTTAGCTCACCTTGTCGACACAATTTCTTCTTCTAAATATAGGGAACAAATAATAGAATTATATACGTACTTTCTAACCATTCGTTGTATGTGATATGTTGAATAATAGCACCTATAATCTTCCTGGCTTCGTTGAACAACTTATCATCTGTCCATCCGGGTTGACGTGTCTTTAATTCATCAACTATGCGGTTATGCTCTTTCATAAACACCAAGTGCAAGGATCCAAGTCCAGGCTGAACATTTACTCTCACATCGCCTTCAAAAAGAAAAATTTAATTAGTTTGACGAATATGAAATAGAAATTTCAACAATGTAATGAAATGAAGGTATCAAATTCTGCTTTTTATGATTTCATTAAGATGTGGTGAATGTGCCAATACGCCACAACAACAGAAAAAAAAACCCAAAAGAGTTACATTTCGGTATTCAACGCCTATACTATAAACGTTTATACTATATATGTTGCTCTAACCAAAATCTTGCGTCCAGATTTAAGAAATGAAAGTTTTACAAGTAATTTTCTATTTAAAAGGCTGATAAGAGAAAGTAATGCAGTGGAATTAATCAATCAATTTAACGCTTATATAATATCATACCAGCTAACTGACAATAGTCATCTGAATCATCACCGCTTAAAGAGCAAATACTGTCCTCGGAGGAGTCTTCAGGAAGCAAATTTCCATTGGCTGCTTCTTTAACTTTCAACTTGCCTTGGTGATAAACATTCAGTCAATGAATTATTAATTACTTAGTAAGGCGATGTGAGAGTAATAAATACATGATTCATAATCAAGATACAAAAATTATGGATTGCATTGTATCATATTATCACTTTCAAGGAAATTCAAGAAGTTGTAACTAGGTATAAAGAGACATGTATAAAACTCTTGAAAATCATTAAAAACTCTGTGTCAAAAATTTTCATAGATATATTCTAAGGTTTTAAGTTACACAGATTATTATAATTCTGTTGCGCGTGAATGCTTAAAAAGCATTTATACAACTGAATTACAAACGCCATACTTATTCAAATAGTTATCACCCTTTAATATAAAAAAAAATATAGAGATGTGGTATGATTCCCAATGAGACAACTATCTACCTAAGTTCAAATGAAGTGGATGTAAGCAATTATAGGCAACCGTACGGCCTTCAATGAGAAAAATCCATACCGTATAGTCGGCTATAATAGGCCCCGACATGAAAAATATGAAACAATTCACTTGAGAAAAGTAACGGCCTAATTTATAACAAAACAGTTTACGAAAAAACATATGACAGACATGAACCAACGACAACCACTGAACTACAGGCTACTGACTCGGGACAGGCACATATAGAATGTGGCGGGGTCAATCATGTTTGAAGGAACAAACCCTCTCCAACCTGGAACAGTGGTGCAACGGTTCAACACAAGAAAAGACTATGCGAAACAATAAACGAAAAACAAATACGAGAAACAGCAAAAAAAGAATACCACTCAATTACAGGCTCCTGATTAGGGACAGGCATATATAGAATGTGGCGGGGTTATACAGTTTTGAAGGCGCCAACCATCCCCTAACCTGGGACAGTGGTGTAACAGTACGACATAAGAACACACTATAAAAATCAATTGAAAAGGGTTTAACTCATCAGATCGATACAAAGCAGAAAAACATCGAACAAAAACAGGCCGGACGTGGCAGGGTATTTATACATCCATCTAAACAAAAAAGACACAAAGTACAGATCTGCGAGTACTAGCTAGTTCAAAGCCAATAACAACTGATACAAATAAAATCACGTATCTAAGACTAAAATATCAATCAGTACACATCCAACATCTAATGGATTTAGTGTAAAGACGTCATTAACAGTCAGAGAAAAACATGACCTTGTGCATTGCCAAAATATAGGTAACGATAGATTGTAGTACAGTGAATGTGCTTATGTGTATAACAATAATATTTAGTGTGGTTTTAATTTACTGAAAACAAAATTTATATTTATACCAATATAAGCAATATTCAAAGATCTAATTACAGTGCTGAATTGATAACCTTTTAGAAACAGTGTATTTAAAGGATTGATAACTTTACCCGGATCGCATCTAAATTTCCGGGCTCGGTAAACAACATCACCATAAAAATTAGGATGTTCTATTCCGTTTGAAATAAGTTTTCTACAGAACAGGTACAGCCAAACTTCAAAACCAAATCTTTGTAATGTAAATCTCTGACTTTAATTTACTTTACTCCGGTCTTCCCCCTTAAAGTTGATTTCATAAAGTGACTGTCTATTATACGTGTTCATATCATAATGCGACCATTTTATTATAATAATTCATCATAGAGAATCTTCCATGTCCCCATAAACTGCTTAAACATGACCAAAAAGGATAAGTTAACACAAGTAATACCACATTTTAGTTTCTTTTTAAATCCTCATTTACAAAATATCAAATTTTCTTCAATATAGAAATAAGGAGATGTAGTATTATTGCCAATGAGACAACTATCCACCAAAGTTCAAATGAAATGGATGGAAGCAATTATGGGCAATTATAAGCAAAGTTCCTTTTCTTAACCTTCTGTTCGAATATGAAACAATTTAACATAAAAATTAATGAGTATATAGACGGTATATGTCTATCAGACTGCAATTAAACATTAAATCAAAATTTAAAATACGGTCTCTAACAATACATAAGTGTGTTTGTCCTATGTCATACTCTAAATTGCAATGAGAGCAACAGGGAAAAACTAAATTACTTAAAGGGGCATTAGCTACGAGATATAAAAATAATTAAATTATGATTTTTTTTTGGTTCAATCATTAATGAAAGTGAAATAGTGAAATGATAATTCGCTTTTAGCAGGCAGTTTAGTTCAATTTTGTCAAAATAAGCTAAGAAACATTGCTGATGAATTATTCACTTGCAAGTGAATAATTCGACTTCATTGAATCCGTATTCATGTGACCTTCAATTTAACCCCTTAGCTAGAGATTGGTTACGCATGTATTAGGCGTGTTCAGGCATCAAAAGGAAAAGAATGTCAACATTGAAAGTGAAACAAAGGTGAACCATTTCGTTGACTGATTTGATCCACAAAAAATCATTCTTATACAGGTAAAAACGATGATTAACTTATTTTTTAGCCTATAACATGAAATCAAACAGACCTAGAAAAATCCAATTGCACGTGGTCGCAATCTATTTATATCTATGTTCATGTTTATATCGGGTTATGTTACCGTCGGCAGTCATCGGAGGTCATCTCGATGGTTAATTATATGGCGTCTAGACTAAAATACACACGAAATGTTGATAAATATTATCGAGTCCATGCATTGTTAATTGTTTAATTCAGACTTATTGTAATTTGGATATACGTTTTAGTATGTTATATATTAAATCAAATATGAGAATTTGAGTCAAATCGGTGAACATGAATTTGACAGCTAATGCCCCTTTAATGGTCAATAAAACCCTTAATATTTAACGAAAAAAGTATTAACGAGATTTCCGTGAAATGCATATTAATATGCGGATTAGTAAACTACTTATTTCCACTCCCTACAACCGTTTAATCTGTAAGAAAAAATATTTAAATCTTGTTGTACTGTCTTTACTGTATTGGAAGATAAATTGCTTAACTTCAAATCAGAGTTTGGCTTATTCTCATTAGTAGAGAACACAAAGACAAATTTTGTCAGGAATCTTGGTTGTCGTTAGTAATAAAATCGCTGGTGTAAATATCTGATCTTTAATAGATAAAATATGATTTAATTTTTTATTCACAATTTGTATACGCTCGAGTTCATTTACAGATTAACAATAAGTATAAACACATCTTTTTTATGACACTATGTTGACGCAATTCTTGGTTTTATAATGTCATTTGGTTGCTGTCTAACCCTCATCTCTATATTTATATCATAAATTGGATGTAGACTACCTGCTGTAAATAATCAATGTAAGATAACAACAACAACAAAATTCAAATAACCTGCCCCCCTGGAGAGACGCATGTATTTCAATATCTAACTGACCACTGTTAGTATACAAAACATTTACGACAGATTGTGAAAAATCAGGAAATAGTTATTATAAGATGCTTACCACCTGCATCTCGCAGTGCTGCCACCTGACTTGTTGTACTGCCATAAACCATGCTACCATCTATGAATGATGTTATACCATTGGTCACTTGCTTTCCATCTATTCAATAATAAAACATTTTGATAAATTCCAAAAAAGCACCAGTAGTTTGGTTTGAGCAAAACACATCATACCTGCCAACTGTCACTATTTGCGGGGGATTTCCCCCATGGAGGCTCCCAAATGGAAATTTTGAATAAGCAATTTTATTCACAGTTTTAAACAAAACAATTAATTTTACAATGGTTATAGGCTTGTAAAAGTATGAAGAAGCCAAAAAACAACATTAAAAGACATTTCAAGGCCCCCATGAAGGTTTTGTAGGACTATAAGAGCCATCTTGCATGTAAAATCCCCATGGGCATTTTGAAAAGTTGGCAGGTATGACACATTAATGATCGTTTTGCACTTTTTATCCAATAGGATAAGAAACAATCATCGAGTTACCTCTTTCGGGGATAAAGAATCACATAAGGTTTTGATAGAAACTGATTTGAAAATAAATGTATCTTTTTGTCGTTCATTATTCCATGCATCGTGCATGAATTATACCTTTGACATTGACTAAAATCTTATGTTAGTGCTGATATATTTAACTTCGAATTTCATTATATGCCTTCAGTCTGTGCTTCATACTTTGGATAATGTTTGACTCACACCTTTCAACAAATAATAGTAAATGTATTTTTCAGTTCTCTAATCATTTCAATATTGTCACATAGGAAATTGAGCAAATTAACAACAAACGATCCAGTCCGACCTTCAGTATAGCAGCCATAACGAAACATAGTTTCCTATCGTATTGAGCAAATTAACATCACTTCACTCGAAAAAAGCACGCTGCGTTAACTTTAAGGAATTAAGCTAAAGCTAATATGTTTTAATAAATCAACAGAAAATGGTTTCATTTTGTCGCTTTCATTTTGTCGCAAAGTAAAAAAAGGAACAGATTCTACCACTGTTACATATGCAATATATTATTTCTCTACTATCGATAATTTATCAGAATAGAAAAAAAAACTCTTTTGGTTTAAATTAAATTGGAAAATTCAACCGTCTGGAATTGAGAAATATAGTAGCTCAATTCGCCAGAATCTAAAGGACTATGGGTAATCTGATTGTTCGTACACCAAAATGAAAATAACGTTACGTCATTGGTTCAATTTCCTTGTTTATAACGTTTTAAACCAATCACAACATTTTGGTGAACGCTTTTGAAAATATTACCCAGAATGCATTAGATTCTGAAACGGCGAATTGAAGCAGTAACAGCATCTATATGGTATGATCTATAAATATTCGATTGAACAAAAGCAGGCATCTGATTTAACATTAAAATATACATACCACCAAGTTCAAAGGCAGCCGCTGGAGCTGATCGCACGAATTCCATACATGTTATACCAAGTTCATCGTTAGCATCCACTGCTATAGCCATACATTCATCCCTGATAATATATTTTATACATATATTCACAAAATCTTCGAGGAACAGTTCAAAAAAGTTCTCCACAGTAAATTGTCCATATAAACCCCATTTATAGTATGCAAAATTTTATCTGATCAAGTTTGTGTGTTAACTTTTTAACTTTTCAAACTGTCTTTTAAAAAAAAATGCTTTACATTAACTCTTGGATAAGTATGTCCCAGATTAACTTTAGTGTTTTCAGTTGTGTGAACTATGTTTACGTATAGAAATAAAACTATTCCATGACTTCTCCCATTCGACATCGTTTGAATGTGAGAGATGTATTTAAAATACGCAGCCTCGTCCGGTAGGAATTTGGGACGTTGAATTTGATGCCAAATGTAGTATAATTGTTACGCTCTCTGAACGTTGAAAACCAATTGCAACAACTCTTTAGGGATCCGTAGATGTGCTCTTGCAATGTACAGTTCCTGTACCTATCCAACATGAAATCATTTCCAGTGGGAGTCGAAATTCCCGACCTTCATACTGGTCGACAGACTTTGCTGAACCTACTTACCGGATTTATTTATAATTTGTTTTGTCCTGACTATGCATGCAATATTTGCCACCGGACGTTAGTCAAACAACAATATATCAATCATTTTACAAAGTCATTAAATGATCAGAATGCTACCATTTGAAATACAAAGGGTTTTAAATCAAATTATTTACGAATTGATAGACAGTACCTTTCAACGGGATCATTGCCATCTACGCAGCATGATATTTCGGCGCCATCTTGACCTATAACAAAACAAATTTCAACATTAATGCAAAACTCCACCGTCGTGTTTTGAAACATAAGATATCATATTTAGAAACTAGTTAAAAGAAAGAGGTTAGTCAAAAGCTGCTTAAGTGTGGTTGGGTTTCTGCGGGCTAACTTTTTTCTAAATTTTGTTTGTAACAAATTAACACTGCCATTAAGATAATCCTCTCCAGGATTTCTATAAGAAACACGTCAGCAGTTTTTCTATTTTTACATCTTTAGTAATTTGTTTCATTTCTATGATTTTTGTGATCATAGCAGATCTTTGTTAGGTCTTTATTTGATTCATGATTTACTCCCAAGTTGTCAAGAATCGAAGCAATTCAGAGCTGGCCGTATTGTATGGGCAGTTTTCATATTTCTCAGTGATAAAACAGAATAATGAACGCATTCTTTGAAAAAGGTAGATTATCATGTTGAGTCTGTGTTAAAGAACAGAAACTTGATTTTTTTTTTATACTTCGAGGTAATTAACCATTTGCAGACTTTACTATGGTATTCTTGGGAAAAGGTGTAATGCTCGTCTCATCCCTCTTGAAAAAAGTGATCACATGATCGGCGGGAAGAGAGAGACACAAGCAATAACTCTGCAGAGTGTTTTAAATGACAGCAAATTAAATTAGTCTACCCAATATATCATTGCTTTACAGTGGCAGTCAAATTTTTTTTCTGCGTTTTCTTCAGCTGACTCTTCCCAGACCCTATCAATTCATTCTGTCAAATTTTCCTGTTTTCTGTTTAGCACTGCGCATTAAACAACAACAAAAAACCAACCAATCAACCAACCACTAAAACGTGTTTTGAAAGTTAAATACATGTTTTCCATTTATTCTATTACCATGTGTTTAAGAATACCATTAAAAGTGCATTTGCTGCATGCTTAAAGATCATCATACCTAGTTTATGTTGTATCTAGTTGTCAGTTGGAACCCTTATTTTTTTACGATCAATGCCGTTGAATGGGGACATATGGTTGAACCCCCCCCCCCTTTTTAAAAATGGCTAGACCCACCCCTGACGAGTATCGAAATTTACAACCACACACACTGACCTGTTAGCATAATTTGATCTGCGAATGATAATTTCAAACGAAGCGTAAGATTTCAGTCATTAGTTAGTTGCCTATCGTGATATACATTCGTAATTAACATTTCCCACTGGACGCAATTAATATTTAATTAACATTTCCCACTGGACGCAAGGACGTATAACTAACATATTACAGAACTAATATACGTCCTTGCTGGGCGTTAAACTATTGACAATCAATCGTAAAGGAAACGTTTAGTCGTTTTTTTTACTTACCTGTAATTTGTGGTGTGAGTACTATATCATGATCAATAAACTGTCCCCAGTTCATACTCATAAGGGTGTTGAAACTTTCATCAACATCAGTTTCTGAAGCGCTTGCAAAAACTGCATTACTCAATTCTCTTGGGTTAGGTAGGTCTTCTCCAGGAATTACACTTGTTCTGGGTGTGTCCACTACAAATGAATTATATAGACTTTCAGTAATAAACTCTATTCACCTGGCTAGGTTCTTCCCTCTATTTTGCTTTAATAACAGACTATCAAAGGCAGCTAGCACTAATAATCTTATGTATCGAAAAAACCTGAATTTGTACAGTTGTCAGTAATTATTGATTGCATGGAATATAAAAGGATCTGGATGGGTGTGATTTGCAGACTAAACAACGGATAAACATAAATGGATACGTCTTTTAAATCAAGTTATTAGTATGAATATTTGAGACGTCAAGGAGGATTCCAGGCCTTTCGATTATAAAACTTTACTCAGTACTCGGAGTACAAAATTTGTGCTCGAAACATCAAATCCAGTAATTTGAATGGTTAATTTCTGAGTCTGAGTACGATAATCGTACTCGCAAGTTTTATGATCGTAAGCCTAAACAATTTTATACGATAGGTACTCACCACCACTATTATCGTAAACTTCAGATATAAATCTAGGTTGTTGTTCAAATGCTGCTCCCCAATGAGGATTATTCAGGTTGTTACATTTGCCATCTATAGTTCTGTATGTATTCACATCTGTAATTTCGTTGCATTCGTCTGGTGTCGTCCTTTTCGACCTTGTAGATTGATATCTGAAATTAAAGATTTAATGATAATGACGTAAATAAAAACTTCACATCGATGATTTGATGAGTATGCAAAAACTCATCTTCCGCCTCATCCCTTTAATATGTTGTGCAGTCACCGCGATCAGTCAGAGTAATAATGTTCCCAAGACGCAACAGCAATTCTGAATTTGAACTTTATACATACAATATTTATCGAGATCACATTAATTTAAATTATTGAAAAATCGATTGTACCTCCTTAATATAGCTGGTGAAAATGTTTTGGTTATAAATGCTTTTTTAAACTATCTAAATGTTATCTCCTTATTTGATTTTTTTATCGATCCAGCAGATATCAACTTGTAATTAATGTTTGATCCTCGAGGAAACCGAGAGAAAAGGGGGGATTGGAGAGTCGCATGCTTTCCCTTGCTAAAAATGAATGTTATAAGTTCCAAAAAAATATGCATGGTATTATTTTTTTTTTCTCTCTTGAACTCGTCTTGAAATCCTTTCCTAGATAACAGATAAATAAAATGTCGAACGAGCTGTTGTTGATTGGTAAAAGGAACAGCAGTCGACCGATGTTCAAATCTCGGCAATCCATACGTTAAAAGGGGAATGACAAATTGGGCTTTCACACAATACACGAACAATACGATTCAAAAACTAGGCAGATAAATGAACTAACAGGGTACAAAATATAAACTCCTTACCCCTCTCCCCCCCAAAAAAAAATTGAATACAAAAAGAATATTATCAAATAATCTGGAAGGGTTAATCATATTCTGCTCTACATGCAACACTCGTCCGTATTGCCCAGTTGTCAAAGTTGACAATGGGTCTATTATGATAAAATGCAAAATAAAGAAAAGGACATGAAAAACGTAAGGAATTAAGATATAAAATTATTTGTGAAACGAAAATAGTAAAATATATTCCTGACTGAGAAGTTTGTGCTTTTGCAGGATTTCACTGGGCTTTCAAGGAATTCGTTGTGTTTTTTTTTTTTTATTTAAGAATCCACTTTATAGCTAACATAGGCTTTTAAGAAACTGTCTATATATTCAACTGATTATTACCTTTTCATTAAGTTGTTGCCATCTGCGAGTTCCTTGATAGTTTCTTTCCAACATTTTTTTATTTCTAGATCATCACTTAGTTTTTTTAATGTTTTTCTTCCAGTTCTAGAAAATAATAACAAAAACATAAAAGATATAGAACTGTAGTCTTTCTTTTGATAAATCCTCAGCTGCACATGTTTGAAGGTATTGAATAAATATTGCACATTGTTTTATAAGAACACATTAGTGATTTGAATCAGCTATTTTATTCTAAATTACTGTCCTGTCTTGAAGGTGCAAAAAGCGATCTTACATTTCGTCGACTTCGTTAAATTTAGGTTTAATAGAATTCGACAAAACTTGAACAGAGGTTCTTCATTATTAAAAAATAAGAATCTTTACAAAAAAATGGACAGAAGATTCTTCAAAGAAATAGGTCAACACATTTTATATTTCTGAGAAAAAAAAAACATAAATTTTCCCAAAGGTGGGGTGCAGCATATCCGGAATAAAGGGTGTAAAGATTGTTTCAATCGTTCCTGCTATTCCTATATTTTAAAAATGCATATTCCTTCTATTCCTTCAAACAAAGAACAATAGCTGTTATCAAAAGGTGAATTGTACACTTGATAAGCCCCAAAGATTGAAAAACACAAATAAGATTCGATGAGTGCATAGAACTGAACAGGACATAAACAGAACTGTAAAATCTCAGGTCAACTTGCCTAAGAAGAGGAAGTTGATACCTTAGAAAACAATATTAGGTATTTGGTCTAAATACTCACTTCTTTATTAAAGTTTTCTTGGCACAATTCAAAATATGACCAATCTTCTGAATTTCTTCGGACCGTTTACTTCTTTTGAACAGTCTGTTTCTTTTCCGTTTTGGCTTTCCATCAAGACCTGATAATGTAACATCAATTATGATTTTACAGAAAAGTTACTGACTTTAGATTTTGACGATTTTACACGAAGGTAAAAAACGCAAAACTAAACTTTTAGTTATTAATATTTTTTTATGCAAGAAAAGCATTTTTTAGACTGACTTATGTCGAACATTATGTCTAAAAAAGGTTAAATAAGGCAATTTCTTTACATTTCACAAACATTTTATTGAAAACAAAACATTATATTCGCAACTAACCCCAAGATATTTGGCTTTTTGTGTAACGTTATTTATTGTTTCTATGCTACAAAAATATCTACGTACGTAATCGTATACAGGGCTAATGGATAAGTCCTAGTTAAACACGTCGGATGTAGGATGCAAACTATAGAAAAGGCTTCCTTTCCGGAGCACCTGATATCACATTTGGTGTTTAGTTATTCGTAGATCTCTTTTCTTGTTTGTTTGTACATCTTATTGCTTCACTGGTTCGGTATCATATGCCTGTTGTTTTTACGAGTAATAATAATATAATCATACAGAGGTAACACCTACCCTCCATTTTAAACTGTTTCTGTCTTTCTCTGAACCGATTGAATTCTTCAATGCATGTTCCAAAGGCTTCTTTTACCAAAAGTTTGACATCTTCTCTCTTCTTCAATGCATTTTCTTTTTCTCTTTCTTCCAATAGTTCTTCAATTTCCTCAAGGGTTTCCAGTTCTTTTTCCGTCAATTTGTCGTTGTGTTTTCCAGCAGTACTTTGGTGACAAATTATAAGTAATACAGCGAATACCAATATTGATCGTAAACCCAACATATTGTCTAAAATGAAACATTAAATATTACATGCGTATTTAGAGTTAGTTAACAGAACTTTAACTTTCACATTACATATTTCAACAAAAGCGCGAACATTTTACTTCTTGATAGAACTAAGTAGAATATAACAATCAATAATTAGTGCCTGTCACCAGACGTTAATCACCCATCTATCCATCCATCCATCCATCCATCCATCCATTTATTCAATTAGAGACGATTTGTTTTATTGACATGGTAAAAATTTGAAATCTATTAAAACCCCTGGATTTTACTTATCCAAAAATATCTAAACTTCTTTTTTTACATCCATATATAATAGTAATGAAAATGACATTACGCACCATTAACTGATGTTAAAAGACATATTTATATGATTTTGAATCAAGGAGCATCTTTTTACACACAAATGAATTTTATCTCAAAGACAATATACTATACAGTTTAACTTCTTATACATGACTTTGATAAATATTCAAATTGCCATTATCTACCAAAATTGAAGCAGTTTTAAAATTGAGTACCAACAATTATTGAGCTTTCAATATTTTTAAATGTTTTTTTTTCTTACTTTTTTTTTCTTTAGTCTTGAAAAGCCGTTATTTGTTTAGTTTTTTATAAAATGTTTAACGTGACATTTGTCTGTTTATCTGCCTTTGAAACAAATCCTGCTAAAGGGGAAGAAGTATGATTGGGCCGTTTTTGGCCCTTTAAAAAAAAAAATATTGTAAATTTATCAAATGTATTATTCCGATATTACTTGACATTAATCTGTCAGATATCAGTAATTTTGTAGGTATGCATTTTGTCTAAGCCTTGAAACTTCTTGTATTACATGGAAAATGGTAAATAGATAATAATATTTTTGTGAAAATGAACAGAAAACAAATATGAAACACACAACAATACAATACAGTATTAACACGTGTGACAAAACTGTATGAGCCAACATAACGCATGAAACAGTAGTTTGTAAGCATGCATGCCAAATGTAGCATTAATTTGCAAGCATGTATATCAAATGTAACAGTAATTTTCAAGCATGCATGCCAAATGTAACAAATATTTACAAGCATGCATGCAAAATGTAGCACTAATTTGCAAACATTTTTCTTAAAAAGTTCATCGGAAGATACCAAGACCTTGTTGATAAATAGTCCGTATCAACTTCACAAATAATACATGATGGTCTTGATGTATAGATTCTAGGTACTGACGTTGTCTATCATCTTAATTACGTGTTATAGTGTTCTTTTATTTGTCTTTGTAAATTATTAACGTTTGCTGTTTGGTCCATTTTTGGTAATATCCTTTAGGCGTGGCTCGGTACTTGTACATCCCGCCATTGTGTTGTTGTGTTGTGGTAATTTTTTGTATTCTTGTGTTTCATTTTTGCGTATGTGCTTTGTCTATATGCAATTTTGTTTTTCTTTGTTGACATATTTGTTTGTTTTTATAGTGATTGGGATTATAACACAATGTTGACTGCTGTATCCCTATTTTGACATTTTAACCTATTATGTCTGTTTGTTTTGTTCACACATTTTTGTCAATATGATGGAATTTTATGCAACTGACATACAAGTGAGAGGTTTAGCTAGCTTTAAAACCAGGTTTAAACCACCATTTTCTACACAAGGAAATGCCTGTACCAAGTAAGGAATATAACAGTTGTTTTCCATTCTTTTGATGTGTTTGAGCTTTTGATTTTGCCAATTGTTAAGGGACTTTCCGTTTTGAATTTTCCTTGGAGTTCGGTATTTTTGTTGTTTACTTTTTTTTCAAGCATGCATGCCAAATGTAACAACTATTTTCAAGTATGCTTGCCAAATGCAGCAATAATTTTGCAAGCATGCATGCCAAATGTAGCAATAATTCGTAAGCATGCATGCCAAATGTAACAATAATTTTCAAGCATGCATGCCAAATGTAGCAATAATTTGCAAGCATGCATACCAATTGTAACAATAATTTGCAAGCATGCATGCCAAATGTAGCAATAATTTACAAGCATGCATGCCAAATGTAACAATAATTTTCAAGTATGCATGGCAACTTTTACCATTATTTGAAAGCATGCATGCCAAATTTAACCATTATTTTAAAGCATGCATGGCAAATTTAACCATTATTTAAAAGCACGCATGGCAAATGAAACATTCCTTATAAAAACTTACCTTCTCTTTAGCTAGAAGAGCCCAACACTGAAGATCTTTACCTGCTGTGTCCCTTTATACTGTCAAGTTCCACTCGAATTATCAAAAATCATAACCCTTGAGACATGAATTTCTTTCAATTTGTTTTATTTTAAGTAACCGTATTTAAAAGCATTCTTGTGTGTAGCCATTAGAAAGTATTTCTAAATTTACGTACGTCAAACATCAATTGACGTCTTGATGCTTACCAATAGTTACGTAGAATATATGAAAAAAAAGAATGTACTTAAAAATCACATTGCACAATTGCGGCTATAAATGTGCAAAGTAAGATAAAAGGAAAATATTTATAGTTTTACCATGCTTAACATAAAATTTTAAAATGTGCTCTAATCAGAAAATTGTCTATTATAGTTACATGTGTAAATATGTGCAGATTATAAAAAAGCAATATACGAGCTATATAAGTACAATCGGCTAAACGGACCTCAAAGAAGTTAAATGACATTAAAGAAAATATCAAGTATCACGATTTTGCAATAAAAAAAACTACCCATGAATTCATGATAATGTGAATATAACTTAATTATTTAAAAAAAAAACTTAACTAAAATTACATCTTTTAGCGCATTACTGGGCTATATATTACTGGACAATGGGCAATGTTTTTTCTGGACCATGTAACACTGGACAATGTAATACTGGACAATGTATTACTGGACAATGTATTACTGGACAATGTAATACGTAAACTGGGCAATATATTACTGGACAATGTATTGCTGGACAATGTATTACTTGACAATGTATTACTGGACAATGTATTACTTGAGAATGTAATACTAGTACTATACAATGTATTACTGGATTATGTACTTATCTTTCTGTGTTGAAGTGTTACACTACTATTTCAGATTAGGGTGAAGGTTGGCGCCTGTTAAAACGTTTTAAAAACCCGCTGCATTTGTTTGCACCTGTCCTAAGTTAGGAACCCGTTTCAGTGGTTGTTGTTTTTTAATGTGGTTCTTTTAAAAGTGTTTCTCGTTTCTCTTTTTTTATATATATTAGACCGTTCGTTTTCCTGTTTGAACTGTTTTACACTAGTTATTTTGGGGCCCTTTATAGCTTGCTGTTCGGTGTGAGCCAAGGCTCCGTGTTGAAAGCCGTACTTTGACCTATAATTGTTTACTTTTTACACATTGCGACTTGGATGGAGAGTTGTCTCATTGGCACTCATACCACATCTTCTATTTCTATTGAGCGAGATTTCGCCAATAATTCACCATTAACAATTAAAAGAATTAATATATAAAACATTGATAAACTTTTAACCAGAATCCAAATGACTTGAGCAACTATAGGTATCCGAACGGCCTTCAACAATGACCAGAAATTATGATATTGACTGTTGGGATAAACATTGCTCTCTTTAAGATATAATAAATACAGTAAACCCTATCTTAGGTTAATTGTCATCCGGTGAGCTCTTATATGAGAAAATAGCTTTTAGAATTTCATAAACTTTAATTGTAGAAATAAATTGTTCTGTTCCCATATAAAATGGTAAACAAGTTCATATACAAGATTTCAAAAAAAAGAAGCTTTCTATCAGAGATTATAGAGCATTAAGAGAGCCCGAACTGAGAATGTTTAAATCAGTAATACCCTAAATCCTTCTCCACCCTTCCTTAATCATCCCCATCATCGTTATCACCAAAGTTTAGTGCATTTACATGGATACGTATTGAGCTTTTAATGATTGTGCAAGTTTCACTTTTAGCTACGTGCATTTTTCCTTTTGTCTTTTGGTTTCACATAAAAATGTTACTTTATTTAGAATAAAACTGAAAATACACATAAAAAATCAAAACTAGTGCAGTAATATCTAAAATTTGGTATTGTCTGTTTAGTCATAGAACTGTTTTATATATATCGTATGCGAAATACAATTTTTGACACGATTTAAAATGTCAGCGAACAAAATATCAATTTGAACATTATATATTACATTTTTATCTTTTATACAGTAATTTTAATGTCTGATATGACGACAGATTTACCTTTTCGACTTAGATCACTGATAATTAAAAGCTAAACTATTTTATTATCCTGGAAAACAAACAAACTTGTTTTCGTTCTTGTTTCAAATTCAGTAAAAGGTACAAAATATTCTGTTAAGGCCTAATCAAGAACTTACTCAACTGGAAGAAGTCAAAAGTCGAAAAGAAATTCGATTTCCATATTTACAACAGGTATTTCAACAACAACAACAACTTAAAAACGGTAAAAAGAAATGAAATGTAATTCTCAATATATATAATGTAAGGACAGCAGCTAATTTTGGTCCGCTCTGATCGAGCCCTTTCTAGTATGTAGTTCTATTTCATTTCACGATATAAGAAAATATTCTTGTCGTTTTTTCAAAATCAGTTTCTAAATGCGAAATACAAAATCACTTGTTTTCAGGACAACATTTTGGTCAAAAGATGGTAAAATTATCAAGCTCTTAACAACAACATTTAAAAAAAGCACCATGGGTGCATGAGATGAGTTGCGATCGGTCTGAATTTAAAGCAGAAGGATTTTTGTTTCGGATACGAGGAAGACCGTAAAGTCAATGGATGGAAAACTAAAAAAAATGCCCACATTTCAGTCAATTAACTGCTGTGGTTAAATTTGACCTTTGACCTATGACCTAGTGATATTTAAATCAGTAAGGACATTTGACAACCCAAGGCACAAATAACGATAAAGATTTATAATTAAAAAAACATTGTCACGAAATAAAACTTGTTTTTCAAACAACATTTCAGTCTCAGACTTTACAGGTAATATGACCTTTACCTTTGACGTACTTAACATCGGTCTCGGAAGTCTCTAAGTTTGGAGGATCTTGAATATTGACCCTTTTACTTAAACAAATCAATTTGGGAGTTCTTCATCTCATAGGGCTTTGTCAAGTTTGGTAAAAGTATAATATACGACTTATAGATGTAACATCCGGAAACTAAATTTTCCTTAAATTTCAGTCCACCAATAGCTGTTTTGAACTTTACCTTTGATCAATTGACCTCAAATTAAAAGGGTTTTTCTCACTCATTCTGACATAATAAGACCATGTTTGGTAAAGATATTGTTTAAGGCTCATATGATTTTGTCCGGAAACCTTAAATGTTGACATCTTGACGCAATGACGACTTTCTTTATGTCAAAATCCAAGGTCGAATTGCCGGATTAAACTAGTTTACCAATGTTAACCTAATCTTCTGTCCCGCAAGCAGTCAGGAAAAAATCACTTTATTTGAATATGCGATTTATCAGAAAGACTTAAATGCTTTTTTTTTATTTGAGCGGATAACTAGATTCTGAATACTAGTATATTTTCTCTATAATTTGTCTGTACGTTTTTCGTCGAATTAAGCAGATTTATTTTAGAAAAGGAAGAATATTTCAAGTGAAAACTATAAACCATGAGTCGAAGACAGACAAACAATCAATGAGAAAATATAGAGAACAAAGACGATTAAATCCAAAGAGCACTAAACAGATTCAACAACATGAACCCCAACAAAAATCGGAAGTGAACACAGGTGCTCCAGAAAGGTAAGAAGTTATTGATCCATTTGTTGCACCCTCCATTTGTTGCACTGTCTTATTGTCCATGGCAAGTAAACAGTCGTTGAAAATCATATGCGAAGTAAGTGGATGGGATTTTGACTTCGAAAAATTGAACACATCCTTTGTAATCTGTGGCAAAACTATTGTTTAACTGTCACCAAATCATGCTGGCGTTTGTAACAAAAAAACTCATTGAAGATACCAATCTTATAATTTGTTACACCAGGACTTCCGAAGAGTTGAGTTCAATTTTACCATGTAGAACACATTATTCAGAAGGTTTCTTGTAAGGAGCAACTCTACGCGAAGGAATTTATGCTTGGAAACGCAAGCCTTTAAATACCATTACTACCTGGAGGTTTATACTCCATATGCGTGTTCTGCTTGATTATTGCTACATAAAAAGATTAAGGATGTTTGCTCCTCTTGTTTTTGAATTTTTGTCAGATATTCGGAATCCTCTTGTTTTATCTATGTAGTGCCATTAAAAATTTTGCCCACTAAGCCCTACTTTTCTTTTCATAATTTTATAACATATAGTTTAAAAAGCCATATTTGAAAATCTTGTAAAATCCTTGTTATTTTTTCATAGTTTTTGATAGAAAAACAGTGCCAATGTTAATAGTATGAAAAATCTAGAGAGAATCATTTCCCGCCCAATTTTCAACGGCTTATATCTCAAAAACAAGCACACGGACCCTTCATTTTTTTCTGCTTTTTTAGTTCCGTTATTTATATACTATCAATTTATATCAGTCTTTTAAAAAGCTTGTTATTTTGAAACAGAGTAGCGAACATCCTTAAAGTCATCTTTTTGTCGTAAAGTTCAGTTTTCAAACAACGATAACTGTCAATTATTTTATGTGAATCAAAATAACTGTATTTGTCTTTATTTAAAGTTAAATGGAATGGATTCGGAAAAAAAATCAACGAATTTCGAGCTATTCTACGGAAGTGTATTAGCGCCACACATATTTTTTTTTATATTTCTTCCTATGTTTGCGAAATAACACAAACCTTTCTTATTTAAGTATTAAGGGAATCAGCTGTTATAAATGGAGGAAGCTGCATTTTTTAAAATGTATCGCCCTTTGTACAAGTAAAATGCTTGAGTGTTTAGCACATGTCATGGCATAATAATGAAGAGGAGAATACGGGTATTTATATATATATTACAAAGAAAATTGAGTAGATTGAAGTTATACCGAAAAAAATAAAAAAATCAATCCTGTTAATGTAGCCGAATAAAATATACTTCCTTTGAAATTTAAAACCTCATGATTTTTTTATTAAAGAATCTTTATCATATACTGAGATTTCAACAAACGATTTCTTACATCAACACTCAATTTTTTCGACTAAATAATTCATTTTAAAGCCGAAAGATAATTTTGTCTATTTTACTTGATAATTTCACAATTGTATGAAATTTTTGTTGCTCTTCTCTACTTTGCCTCTTCCAGTAAATCAAAATTATCAAAACCGTGGCCTT